TCTAACCGTCGGGGGCAATGGGTGGGGTTCAGTGTCTTGCCCAAGGAGACTTTGACACGTGGACTGTAGGCACCACGATTCAGACCTCCAACCTTGTGGTTGGGAGACGACTGCTCTACCCACTGAACCACGGTCGCCGCCCTAGCCTAAGTTACGTACTGCAAGTCCAATATTCACTCTCTTTTTCCTCCATTGTGGTCGTCTCCAGCTCCTAGCTGTGTAGTCTTCACCTGCCCCCTCTCTTCCACAGTTTGGTGTTAGATTGGAAGCTCACAGTGGGTTCACCAGGGATTTTTTTTGGCTAAATAAAGCTTCCTGTGCTGCTGTAGATGGAGCTGATAGCTCATGATCCTCTGTCCATCACTGTGAGCAACCACTTCCACGCCACACGCTGTTATTTTTATTTTTTACAGGGAGCTGAAATGTTAAATGTTACTGGCTAAATGTTAGAGCACCAAGTGATAGCCACTACAGCCAGATAATGGTGCACTCCATAACGGTCAACATAGCACCTTGTTCAGCCCTAGTATAATGATGTGGTTTACAGATTGGTTTGTTTGAAGGTAGCAGCACTGGTGCATACTCTATGTGTGTGTGAGTGTGTTCAAAGTTGGGTTGGTTCAGTGAACAACTATCAGAGACAGAAAACTGCTTAGGGGAATTTACGGCACAAGCTGTGTTTCCATCCAAGTAGCTGATTAATGAGACACAGGACTGAATTAGCAACACTCAGTAAAAATACAACATTTTGATAAAACTCACTTAAATATTACAGTGGCAGTTGAATGTTTATATAAATGTGGGAATGTGTATCATTGATTAAAAGAAATCTGTGATGAAAAGCTATGGAAATACAGCGGTTGATTAAACCGTCTCATTGGGTGCTGAGCTGGATGATTTGAGTGACTGAAATTATATGGCTTATAAAAGCTGCACCAACTGTTGCAAAAAAGTAAAGCAATTTCTGACATGAATATGTAATTTATAGGCTTGCCTGTATGGGTTATTTCCTCTCATATTTAGACTAAATACTTATTTCCTCAAAGCTGCAAATGTGGCCTTACCAGCTGTTGAATGGAGCTGGAGAACATCCCTTAGAAGAATAGTCTGATGATTTACAGCAGCCTGAAACCACTGTCATGCCTGTGCATTTACCAGAAATGCTAAGCTAAGATAATCACCTCTTATCTAATGCTTAGCAAGAAAGCAAATATGTGTGTTTTCCAAAATGAAAAGTTCATTATTCCTTTAAATATAGCAGCAAATTCCAACAGTAACGAGATAATTCTCCTTAATGGAAGTACTGTTTCCTTTGTATCAACAACATGGAATAAAAAACCCAATATAAGGAAACGTCTTACGTTGCAGGATACTTCCAAGTATGTGTATATCAGCACACTAGGTTAAAATCAACTGATGTTATACTTCTGCATACTGGTGCACTTTGGGTGCCCTCTGTTGCTTGTGTATTGCTTAATGTCCCTAAGCAGCACACATCGAAGAAAACATCACAAACTAGTAACCATGCAAGAAACAGAACCTGAGGCTGAGTTCCTCCTGAGTACATAATAATGGTATACTGCAGGTTTAAGTTGCTGTGTGACCTCCAGAAATATCAGCCATTCCCCCCCATTTCTCACATGTACAATAATGCCAAGTGAATTTATAATATTTTGTATACAGTATGGCACATATATCTGACAGTAACAGAGAAACAGAGGATCTTTGATCCTGATCAAATCTATAAAAAACGGCATTAATTTTCCTCCTCGTCTCTGTTTCCACCTCCATCACGTTTCGACTTCCTGCTGTCTGTTGTCCTTCTCTCCCCTCACCCATCCTATTGGTTGTGTAGGTCAGTGCTGAAAGGGGTCAGCAGAGAAGTGCAGTCGATGTGGACACACACAATCACAGTGTACGGGGATCAGCTGACCCAATAGAAATAAGCTTGTGCTCCGGCCTGTGTGTTACATCCAAATGTACATGTGTGTATACTACATTAAAGTGTATGTGTATCTATGCACTTTCTTCTTCCTGTTTACTTGCTCATGGTTTGGTGGTGCATTGAACATTTGTCACTGTTGTTTTGTATTCATAATACCTTTAGTCTCTGGGACATTCTTTGGACCGGAGTTAGTTTAAGGGCACCTGGTTATGGTTGTTTTAGTCATTTATTTCAGCACTGAATTCAGCAAACTAAAATGTTCTGTATCCATTGCTACTGCAGAGTTCTGTTGATTAACGTACACTGTGTTCTCTCTGTGTGTGCATGGTTACCCTTTAAGACCTTTGAATTCAGGTTTTCATGTGCACACCTGGCTGCATAACACCACTGACCTTGATCATTCTTTCAGTGTCTGTAAAACCCAGTCAATGTGTCTGCTGCCTCCACAAGGTTTAACTGTTTAGCAGCAGCTTCAGCTCTCTCAAACTGGAGAATTCACCTTAAGTTCAAGAGCAAATAAACATAAATTGAAATAAATAATTGAATTGAGTAAATAGTATTATTTTAAAATTGATTTTTATTTTTGTTAAATTTCCCCCAACAAAGATGGGTCATGAAATAAAAGAAATGCACAATAAAAACCATGAAAGTTAAAAGTTTTGATTTCTCAGGAAGCCTTTATTCCACAATCATTAATGGTTCGCACTTGAATGGGAGCTGTGAAGCAGAAAGAAATGCACAGAAAAATACTATAATATATGTTTAAAAAAACATTAGTTTTATTTCATAGAAAAAAACCTTAGTTTTATTTCATAGTAGCAAGAAATATTTTCCATCCCTGCTTCATGAGTTGTAGTCTCCATGTCAGAAGCGACTGTGTGGGGGCGTCTTTATTATTAGTAATAATGAAATAAAGGTAATACAGTCGCTTCTTGAAGTTACTTGATTTAGCTTTTCATCCCAGAGCTGTTCAGACTGGAATTCAGCTAATTAGTATTTCTCTCTGACGGGCTTGGGAGAGTTCATGTGAGAAAGAGAGATCTTGTAATTACAGCTCTGCGAAAACTCTGGCTGTATGTGTGTAATGGCGTGTGTGTATATATGAGAGTGTGTTTATGTGTTACATCCATGGCCTGTGCATATCTGGCTATCTTTATATGAGGTTCTCTTTGGTGTGGTTTTATTTGCATGCTCAGCCTTGTGCGAATACAGGAGCTGACCTCACCCACCTTCAGGTATCATGATGAAATAAACTGTTCAGACTGTAGCCTAAAAAGAAATTATACTTGTCATGCAAATAGCTCAACTTTTCTCTGTGAAGAAACAACTACAGAAACAAAATGCTAAACTTCTAACACAGAAAAATGAAAGTAAAAACAAACTTTTTCAGCAGATAGCAATCCAGTCCTTTATTTATTTATAATGAATTTACATTTTAAATTTTTTTTATGTATTCATGATTTTTTCTATATCTTTGTGCTCTTTGTGCTATATATTGCATTATTTTAAATGTGTTTTATTCCCTGTAAAGTACTTTGAACTGCTTATGTATGCCATATAGAGAAAGTTGTCTGGCCTTTCCTTGCCTTTGTAGCTTCTCAACTCTCCAAAGGCAATTCTGGAATATGAAGCTCCGTAGTACGTACCCCTCAGGAGCCAGTGATCATGCATGTACATGTCAAAGTGTACAAATAATTGTCAGGTCAAAAAAATGTGGTTGTGCTGAAGAAAACTATACCATGATATGTTAAACATATTTTCATGTGGTATGTAAAGGTAAACTCAAAACTGTTAAAAATTGGCCGAAATTCATCTATCCATCCATTATCTATACTGCTTATTCCTGAATCGGGTTGCAGGGGGGCTGGAGACAATCCCAGCTGACACTGGGTGAGAGGCGGGATCCACCAGGTCACCAGTCTATCACAGGGCAGACAACCACACACACTCCTACAGGCAATTTAGAGTCTCAAGTCAACCTAAACTGCATGTCTGTGGGCTATAGGAGGAAGCCGGAGTACCCGGAGAGAACCCACACAGGCACAGGGAGAACATGGAAACCCCGCACAGAAAGGCACCGGGTTGGCCGGGGCTTCGAACCCGGAATCTTTCTGCTGTGAGGCAAGAGCACTAATCACTATGCAGCTTAAATAGCCAAAAATATTTCTCCTAGTGTAGTAGCTCTTAGACCAACAGGAAATGCCAGTTAATTTATTCAGAACTGTTATTTTTTGTTTCTTCAGCACAAAGTTTCTATTCAGGCCTGCTCCCAAGCAATGGAAACAGGCCTGAATAGAAACTGTGTTTTAGTATGTTATAACCCCTCACCACCTCACCAAGCATAATGACATAGCCACGTCCACCAAGTGAATTACTAAGTGCAATGTTTGAAGTTCACTGGGGAAAATACTGTTACCCTATTTTTGTGTATTGCGGTTTTTAATGCTTTGTTGCCTTTATGTAACTTTTTTATTTTAAGACTAAGTGTTCTTTTTGGCTTTTGACTCCTTACCTGACTCCAAAGGAGAGCTGCACAAGAATTGCTATATGCCTAGACTGTCTGTTTATGCATAAATGGCAAATAAAAATCTTGACTTGACTTGACAATTCAACACTGAAAAATATCACAAAGGACTTAGACGAGATGAATGTTTGTAAAAATAAAGATTGTTTAAAAAAGCATTTTCCTAAAAAAACTAATTACAATCCTCCCTTCAGCTATCAAGCACTTAGCACCTTCCACTAGGTACATGAATTCTAATTGGCTGAATGCATTTTGTCATTTCCTTAGGCTAAAACAGAGCAGGCACAGCTGGGAGGAGAGGTAACAAACACAATTTGATGAAAGAAAGATGCTGAAGTTCCCATATTTATGTCATGTTTTCTGACTAAGAAGCAAAATGTATGTGACATTTTGACAGCAGTGCCACATTAACATTGCACCCATCAAGGGGCTGTACACAGAGTATTAATCAGTACTTGACAGCAAGTACAGCAGTGTGTGTACAGTATCTGATTCTCAGCATTAATTCTGATGTATCTGTTTTCGTTCCAGCATGTGGAAGGGCCTGAATGTTAACTGCACAGACAGCTCAGGATACACACCTTTACATCATGCTGCACTCAACGGACACAGGTATGAGGAGTTTTCACATATTTGTGGAGTAATATTTATTAATTTGTTAATCACAAATCCAAATGCTCTCCAATACAGCACAAACAAATTTAAAGAGGTCTGCTTTGCTTGTATTCATATATGTATGTGCAGGTAATGTGTGTGTGTGTGTACACGCTGGGTTTCATTTTTAATTCTGATTCACTTATGCATAAATTATGCATAGAAATGATAAAAAAAGATATGTAAATCACTAATAAGAAGTTCTTAGAATGATGTACTTTGTTTGACTAACAGTCCAAAACCCCATAATATTTAATTTAAATTAATGTAAAAAGGAGACACAAGCGTAATATTGGTTTTTTGTTAATTTTCTCTGAATGTAATAATTATTTCAGTATTAATATGTATGCAGGGCTGAAATACTGAAAATAAATTGTGTAATCAGGGGAAAAGTGAAAAAAGCTTGCTTCCTCCTTTATGTCTCTCAGGTCCTGTATTACTGTGCTTAATGGCCTATGCAAATGTTGTCACTGTATGTTCT